CGATGAGCTTCGTTACCGTGTGGATGTGATCGATCGTGCTGAATCCTCTTCGAAACCCTGCTTGCTCGCATGGCTGTCCTTCGTCTAGTGTTCTGCCAATCCTGTTCAGGATGACTCGTGTGAAGAGTTTGTAGACTACAGACAGCAGCAGATTGGGCGATAATTGCCGATGTCGTACAGGTCCCTTTTTCGACATTCGACATACAAAGCAAGAAAAGTACTCGATTAATCATTTACTGTTTTTCTTATGTACGCAATGAACTCTTAGTGTGAAATAGGGCCAAAGCTATCTTTCTTAGCTCAACGTTGTATTTCTAGTATAATATGCTGGACAATAGGTCTTGTGATGACCACGAGGAAGATGAGCCACTCCTTGCAATGTGCGGAAACCATTTTTTTTTGCTTGAAGGAGTGAGTTCACCTGTTCAAAGGCAACCATGCACATATATATTGCGGATTGCGGCGTTCAACTACAAGCTTATAGTCGCCGAAGGAATCTCCAAGGAAAAAAGCAACAAAAAATCGTGGAGGACATCCTCAAGACTTGGTAATCCCACTTACGAATTCTCTGGACCTGCTCGTTCATGCCAGCGAAGCGATATTCTGCATTTTCCTGCTCACCAATCGTTTGTCCGGAAAGTTCTCAGCGTTTTGAGTGTTTCACTTTAAACGATCATAACTTTCTTAATACTCATCGGATTTAATCCAAATAAGCACCATTCGAATCAGCACACTTTTGCCAATGTGAAGCAGTCGAGAAATCCCATCAAAAGAAAAAACTGGGTGGTCGAGAATCCACGAAATCTACGAAGGTCTTTTTTGCCTGGTCCTAATTGATGAAGTATTTTCCAGCAAGGAAGTTCTGAAAATGTTTGAAAAGGTGATAGTCGGTTGGTGAAAGGTCTGGAGAATATGGCGGGTGAGGTAGAACTTCAACCCCCAATTCGTTCAATTTATGGATAGTGATTTGTGAAACGTGTGGGCGGGCGTTGTCATGCAAAAGAATCGGACCCTTTCTTTTGATAAGTGTTGGCTGCAGCTGACAAAATTTTCGGTACATTTCGTCGATTCCTTCCAGTAGGTTCTGCTGTGATGGTTTGGCCTGGTGATAAAAAGTTATAGTGGATCACACCAGCCGATGACCACCAAACTGTGACCAGAATCTTTTTTTCGTGAGGTTCGGCTTTGGAAATTGCCTCGGTGGTTCGTCGGAATCCAACCACTGTCCGTCTCCTGTTATCATACATGATCCACTTTTCATCACAGGTGACAATTCGGTCCAAACGGGTCGTTTCTGTTGCGCAAAAGCAGTGAAGAAGAAACCTCGAGACGTGCCAATTTCTGCCGGTCACTCAAATTGTGGGGCACCCACTTGTCGAGTTTTTTCACCTTCCCAATGCGTTTCAGACCATCCGCAACAGTGGATTTGCCAACGCCTAGCTTTTCTGCAATCTCTCGAACTGTTTGGGATGGGTCAGCCTCCACAAACGCCTTCAAATCCTCGTCAGGTATTGCTTTAGGTCGACCGCTACGAGGTTCATCTTCAAGGCTGAAATCTCCAGAACGAAATTTGTCGAACCATTGTCGCACGGTGCTTTCTCCAACACTATTGGGCCCCACACCTGGTTAATTTGTCGAGCTGTCTCGACTGCGGATTGACCCAATTTAGTTGAAGAAAAATATCGTCCGAAGTTGCTCTTTTGACATGCTTCAAAAAGTCTTGGGAAAAGGGGGTTTATCAAGCAATGGTGAAACGGCAATTCATACCATCAGATAGCGCAAAAAATTCTCTTTAGGATGTCATACCCTTATTTTAGCGCGGAAAATTCTCTTCAGGATGTACTACTGAGACGCAAGGGAGAATGAGTTTTTAATCAGCAATGAATGTACAAAAAATAGTAACACAAAACGCTGAGAACTTTCCGGACAACCTAATACAAGCCACTTTCGTGGCTCCCCATAAGTGACGAAAGCATGCGGCTCTAACAAGTGGCAGTTCTGACGCCCTCTAGATGCCCCGCCCACCAGAACTCAAAGGCTCTTTTCGGTACCGATTTCGGTTTTCGAACCGGGCTTCTGATTTTCTTTCACTGTTAGATAGTATCAGCATTGCATGAGGCGAAGAAACGATTAGTGAGTTAGTGAGTTAGAGGCGACAGAATATCGCTTTGCTGGCATAAAACGAGCGGATCCGGAAAACTCGCCCAGATATGCTCTCAGGTCCTTTTTTTAAGGTGTTCTTCATGATTTTTTTTTGCTCTTTTTCGTTCCCGGAGAGTCTTAGCGACTATTGGTTCTTTATTGTACGCCACTACCCACAATATGCAAACGCGGAGTTTGCCTCCAACACATTTGACCATCTTTTTCACTCGGGAGAACGCGTGCTCTCCCGAAATGGTCGGATCGTTTTTCTCGCAATTCCTCAGGACGAAACGCATGTTTTCCTTGGCCCGCATTCTCTTGAATCGCCTAGTCGCCACTTCTTGCATTCTCCCGTCTCTTTTTACAAGATCCCTTGTGTTTGTTTTGGTATGAGAAGAGCACGCTTGTTATATAAGGGCAGGATTGTTGTTACGAAGAGTAGGCCAATTTTGTCAACTTTTTTTTCCTGGTACTCGTTGACATAATTTATGTCTCATGCGGTTAACCAAAGATACTATTCATTGAGTAAACGTTATTCAGGTAATATGTCTGCTGATCTTACCTGGCAGATTATTCGTAAAAATAGCTGTTTTCTTCGACGCCAAAAAGGGATTAAGAAGCATTTTTCTGTTGAACCATTCAATCTTCGAGGAATCAATAGTCCTCGGTTCAATGGATTAATCAGCAAGAAAGCCATGGACATTGCGCCCGCAAAGGATGGCAAAGGTGTCACGGTCTCGTTGAAAGTTCCAGGTAATTCCTTTTTAGCTCATTTATTGAGCACTATTGATAGGTTATGTGAATTCACGGGAAGGTCTGGATATTGTGCTATTTACAGCTCCTTAGGATTGCGTTCAGACCTCGCGATCGCGCGAACAGGGGCGTGTCTTATGGTAGGCATGAGAATGGAGTCCTGTTTGGCCTAGGAAAAATTTTTCTATTTATGGTCTTTGTGCCGCAAAACTGTTAGCTGATAGTTGATCGGGGATGGCTATTCTCATTTTCAACTTGTTTTAGTGCAGGCGAGTTGTTTCCATTAGGAGAGCGTTGTTCTTTTCGTTATCCGTTGACCGCCTCTTTTCCTGTGTTCTTTTTTTTGTACGCAACATCATATTTGACATACACGCTAATGACAAGCCTTAGGCTGCGTTTATGCTTTGCGTCACGCTGGCGCACGATCGAGCGTAGCCAGGCGGTGCAGCGTTGGAAAGCGATCGAGAAAGCCGCTCGGGTTGTTGAGCGTCGAGTATGGTCAGCGATCACGGAGTGGACAATATCGGGCGCAGCGAGGGTAGTACACTGCTGGTTAGACCGTCGTCAAATTGCGGTGTGCAAACGCCCACGGTAAAGGCTGCTCCACCGCTGCGTACATCAGATTGCATAATCCTGTGCTTTAACAGTTGTGCAAAGCGTTGACACGCAGCAATTTCACAACGCCTAATCCAAAAGTCTGTCCTATTCCTCATACTCTTAACCCTTGGTGGACGCTAGCATACGTTGGCCTACGGCGGATCGATAACTATGCTTTCCATGTCCTTGGGCGCGCTGGCGCCATGCTCAAAACGCTGGCGTACGCTGATGTAAAGTATGAACGCCTGGTGCACTCGCTTGGCATTCTGAACCCAGGGATCAGTGCTTCATTTTTCCTACTCTTAACCTTGTTTTCAAAGTCATTATTGTGGTACTTGTGAAATGTTGGAGGAACTGTGGCCAACCCTTCTGCAGAGATCTTTTCCGAGTTTTCATTTTTTGAACTAATTTTCTTCTGCTTAATTTGTACATTCATGAAGAGTATTTGCAGGTAAGACGGGAAGACCTGCTAAGAGCGTCAATACTGTCACTCTTCGCAACCGTGACAAGGTGTTAAAGTCTGTAAAGGCAATCGCCAAAAGTCAGGGCCTTACGCCTTTCTACAAGGTACGTTTATTTGTTCATTGAGGCTATTAGTCTTTGAGGATTTTTTCGAGAGCATCAAATGCTTTTCTAACCACTGTTCAACTCGCTTTTGGTTCATTTTTTGGTTGTTTTTTTACTGCGCAAAGCTAATTCAGCTTCACTAAGGGTATGCAAGAACTTGAAAATGACACTCTGTTCAGGCCGCATTCATACTTTGCGCAGCGTCCATCAGCGACCACCAACGTTTCGAGAGTCCAGCGCCAGCGGCTAGGAAAGTATAGACATCGGTTTAGCAAATGGCAGCGTCCACCAGCGTTCAGGAGTAAAAGGTAGGGGGAAGAGGGAGGGTAGCAGACTGCTGGTAGAGTACAGGGAAGCAGAAGGGAGCATACATCTGCATCAGGTGTCGTGAAATTGTGCATTGTGCAACCGCACCGTACCGCTGCTAAAACAGATTTATGCAATCTGATGTAGGGTATTGTGTCACTTCACAGTTTCACGACGCCTAAGGCCGCGTTCATAGCCTGCGACCGTGAAGAAATGCAGAAATGCAGAAGTGCGGAATCTGCAGAAATGACGAAAAGCATTACATACGTATCGATTT